TTAATTTCTCGCAAAAATTATACATAGAAAATGGATAAATTCGATTTATAACTCTCGCGAAGTCTCAATATCTACAAAACTACCTACAAGATTACCCCAACCTAGATTTTCTATTGACTTTTTTTTTTGAACCTGCAGCTGAACATTCCTCCAATAATAATTGATCTGGCTGATTCTGATTCTTCATCAACTTGGTCAAGTTCAGATCATGATGAATCCAATAAAGAGAATTTCTTTTAGTTTTGCATTGTTCCACATTCAAGTTTTAGAAAAATCGGTTCTTTTCAGAACCATCAACTTATCACAAATAAAATAACGCTATCATCATAACAACAATGCAAATGGGACATTGAAACTTTTGCTGAAACCGTCGGGGTGAGAAGAAGTTGCTTCTGTGTCTGCCGGTGGTCCTTTTGAACCAATTTTCAATTCTCCGTGCTACAAATTTAAAACCTGAAAAACCAAAAACCGCAACGACGTATGTCGCCCAATACCATCTAAGATATTAAATCCATAYAAGACTTCTCTGAGTTCCGTTGGTCRACAAACTTTGTATAAAAGAAAACATAACCTTATTTTTTTGACACATACGTTCCCACTAGAAAATATAACTAGACAACGTTGCCGGTTGAATTTTTGAGTCTTATTGCCGGTTGGGTGTTTCTTTAATTTATGAACAGAGAATATATGAGTTTAGTTTAGTAACGCGGAAACCAAAAAAATATTTTCTGTAGTTACATGTGTAAAGACAAAAAAAAGAACAAGATAGGAAATGCACTATTGTCATATCAACAAGAAATTACTCCCTAGGATTTTGGGATATTCATCGTGAATAGGATGCCATTTCTGGTGACAAACAAAACATATCGTACAGTTGGAGACAAAATACTTGTACATACAACTTGTCAACTATGATTGACAGTAGCAAAATAATGTTAACAGTCCTAAAGCATACTTTACAATTTAATGTCACTCAAGTGACATTGACGACCAAAGTATTTTGTCTCCAACTGTAACTAGTATCAAAATTTAAGTTAAGTTACCTATCACCAGGTTGACAGAAAACGTCAACCGTCTACAACAAAGGGTAACCAACCCAAGGCATTCAAAATTACTTGTGAAAATTCTAGTTACCAAAAACATAAAAAACGTAATTTTAAGTTTAAATCCTCGGTGGTAATTTCTTGTTAACAAATCTGTAAAAGCCGTTTGCGTTTTTCGCGTTGCCATGTTTACTAATTATTACAATTCATTTAATGTTTTAGACGAATATTTAAAATTAATGAAATCCTATAATGTATAAGTATAAATAAAAATTAAGTAGGTATCTATATACACACATTTATTTGAATTTGTTTTAATTAACATGAATTTTATTTTTTTATTTCTTTAGTAAAATTTATTTTAATTTAATGTTGTATTATTTATTGATTTTTTGTTGTTTGGAGTTAACACATTTTTATGTTGTATTTATATTATATTACCTCAACAAAATAGACCTATGAAACAGTATCTTTTAATTTATTTAAGTAGTTTAGGGAATTCTAGGGAATTTGGAAGCAACAATCTAGAGACAAGCGCTTAATCTCATTTGGCATCACTGTTTAGACCGCACGCTATATATTTATTATTATGTAACAAAAGTAAGGTTATAGAAGCACAGAAAAGCTTAATGTAACTTGCTTAACCTCACTTTAACAACAAAAAAACAATTACAAGCATGTCTGTAGTAAAAAGAGTTCAGGTAAAATACAGTTGATCACAAAAATGCATAAAATTTATGTTTATGTTTACAGCAATGGGCCACTTTTGCAAGAATATGGCATTTGTATGATGCCGCTTGGCAGAACCCATTTCAATCTGCACATTTAATAAAAAAGTATTTAATGGGGTTATATAAACCAATTTATCATCCAATGAGTAATTAAAGAAAAAAGGTGTTTTCTTGAAATGATACATTACTTACGTTTCAGATGATTGTGGTGATCATGTAATTGTTATAAACACCAACGAAATCGCTATGCCTGAAGAAGAATGGAAAAAACGTGTTTACTTTCACCACACGGGCTATCCTGGTGGTGCATCTTGGACCTTAGCGTGGGAATTACACAGCAAGGACCCGAAATTAGTAAAAAATTATTTGACTTAGTTTAAATAGTATTTTAACATATTTGTTTAAGATTATCAAAAAAGCAATTTATAATAGTATGGATGGTAATTTGCAAAGGCGGCATACAATGGAAAGATTACATCTTTTTCCTGATGATAATGTACCAGCAGATTTGCTAAAGAACGTCTCTAATCAAATAAGACAAATCAGACCAATGCCAAAGAGACTAGACCATTATACTGCAGAAGAAATCAAGTCATTTCCAAAACTTATTAACTATCCAGACGATTACATTTTGAAATAATTTTTTGTCAACAACATAGATAATTATTGAATATAAAATAGTCACATATCTTATTTCAATGCTTAAAATCTTAAACATGCTATTTTTTAATAATATCGGGTAAAAGAAACACGTAATTTAAATATTGCGTAAAAATTTATTCAACACGTTTTAAGAAGTTAAATGCAAATCTTTAGAAACAGTATAAGCCACAACATGCATCATGGAATTTTTATTCAATTTGAAGTTTTCAATCGTCCTATTTCTCACATCTTCCCATGCATACAAATCCCTATACAGGGGACGCACAAATTTCATTCTTCCAACTTCATTAATCCATTTAAGAGTTGGTTCAACAATCTTCATCCAATGAGCTTTTAATCCAATTCTCAACCATCTGAATTTTATTTCAGAATTTTTCACTTTACTAAAATCAAACAACTTGTCAAGTTGTTCAAGTTTTGGAATAGACAAAGGTTTTCCACTCCATATTTCTTGCAAAAGGTAAATTATTTCATCCGCACCAAGATTCTTAATGTGAGTGGTTTCAATCGGACAGGCAACTTTTTCCTCCCAGTCTACAAACTGTTTCAGAATTTTGTTACAGTTGGTAGCAAGAGAAGTGTTATAGTTGGGAATCACTGGAGGCATTCCGGTACCATAAAGCCAAGTATCCCAATCAACTGATTTGATGTCTGCAAAATATTTTTCGAAAAATGATTTAAAATCGTTTGTATCAATCGATTTGTATTTGAATGTGTTGAAATACTCTCTAAGAAATGATTCAAATTGAGCTAAAATAATTATATAAGTTTTGGTTGAATAATTGTGGAAAGTATTACCAGGCCCGCCAACTACTTCTTCAAGATAACGCAAAAAAGTTTGACCTTTTTCATAGGGAACTACCGAAAATGCATCATCAGGGTGGACTCCTTTCAAATCAACAACCAATTTTGTCAAAGGGCTATTTTCGCCAAACAATTTGACCTAAAGATCGTAAAAATTATGCACTTTAGTCCAGTCAAATTAGACAAATCGGTGGAAAAAAATCCTAGAGTTGGAATTTTTTTTAAACGCTTTCTTTACACTTGGGTAGACATATATCAAAAGTCCCCGTAGGTGGGGGGCGAGCTCGAGGAGGGGGAGCGGGTTAAAGGTGTCTTTTTTTGTTTTTTTGCTTATATCTCGGAAATTATCACTCCTATAGGGTTTTATCTTCTTATCAAAATTGAAGCTTACAAAATTTCCTACAAAAATGGTGCTATTCATTTTTGTCGTAGGACTAAGCGTAGGCTTCAAAAGTTTGGAGTCTACATAAAATTGCATTAAAAATCCTTTGAAACACATTTCATTGGGATATGGTAAGTATTTATATGTGTAGAGCGTTCCTCAACTAAGCTGGTCTGCCTGAAAGGTGACTCGGGTGTAAACATTTAAACGGAGATATAAATAAAAATTTTGGATGAAAGAGAGAATCAATCTGTAAGGGGGTTAAATGTTTAAACAAAGATATAAACATAAAATTCTTTAGGGGTGTAAAGGAGCACTAAAATCAGATTTTTCGAAAATTATTAAATTTAGAAAATATGATTTTTAGAGAGTGTAGAAGTGCACTTTTCAAATTTATAAAGTAGAGTTTAAACGCTTAAAAACAAAATTAGAAACATGAAATTTCGAATTTTGAGAGTGCAGAAGTGCACTGAGACGACACTTTATGAAAATCAACATTTAATATTTATCCATAAACATAGCCCATGCGAAGAACGAGACTACTATAACTGAATTCTATACATAACATAGGTAATTATCTAGCTTTATAGATAATAAATAAATCATCTATTTATTAATATTGTAGTGAACAAGACTGTAAATCGGTTTTCAATGTTTACGTTGAAGACGAAGATGCAGCATATGAGGTCAACTCGGAAGACTTTATAGACTCTCTAATGAAGTGTTGCACCCAATAAATTCAATTTGCTTTCAGTTTTTTCAAATCACAAGATTAATTCTGTTTTAAATGCAGATAAAGCACATTTTTTTAAATGATGTTTTTTATCAGCCCTATAACTCGCTTACAGTTAGTCCTACAACAAAAATGCAAAGGACTATTTTTGTAGGAAATTTTATAGGCTTTAATTTTGATAAGGAGGCAAAAACCGTTAGGAGTAATAGTTTCCGAGATATAAGCAAAAAAACAAAAAAAGACACCTTTACCCCCTCCCCCTCCTCGAGCTCGCCCCCCACCTTCGGCGACTTTTGATATATGTCTACCCAAGAACAAAGAAAACGTTTTAAAAAAATTCCAACTCTCTAGGATTTTTTTCCACCGATCGCCCTATTTTTGTCTAATTTGACTGGGCTTATTTTATTTTTGGATAACAAAAAATTACCTCTTCTTTTAATTCACTCAGCCTGCAATAGGCATCAAAATCCTGATGCGCCGGTGACGTCAGCCTCGCTTTAATTTTCCGTTCAACGAAAACAGTAAACCCCTCATTCAACCAGAAATGTTCAAAATTGCGATTCGTGATTAAATTCCCTGTCCAGCTGTGTGCTATTTCATGTGCTACAACATTAGCCAAAGACCTGTCACCTGCTAGCAAAGTAGGAGTAACAAATGTCAAACAGGGATTTTCCATTCCTCCAAAAGCAAAACTCGGAGGAAGGACAAGTAAATCGTAAATGCCCCAAACATAGGGACCACAAATCTCCTCAGCTGTCTTAAGTTGGTGCTCAGTTTCCGCAAATTCGTAGGCACAATCTTCTATGATTTCTTTCTCGGCCCAAACGTGCGATCGGGGGCCGATTTTGCGCGATTCTAGAGCACCAACTGCTATGGCGATGAGGTATGCGGGCATAGGAACATCTTGGCTGAAATGGGAGCGTTTGAAGGGGCCGGAAATTTCAGTTTTGTTAGGTATGGCCGACATTAAAACAGTTAGATTTGAAGGGGCGGTAATCTGTTAAAAAACTTGTTTGATTTAGTCTAGTTTCAAGCCATAAACTTACTGTAGCTTTGTATTTTGTCTTAACTTCAGGAGTGTCCTGACATGGGAGGACAGACCTGGCATGAATTGCCTGAAAATAAATTTAGCAAAAATCTAAACCAAAAAATCAAATTTACCTGAAACTGGCTGAAAAGGTAGGGATGTTTTTTGCCGGCTGTTTGTTCAGGTGTCAACCATTGTAAACCACTTGCATTTGGGCTATTTTCATAAAAAATCGAAATTGTATAACTGAAAAAAACAATCCAGTATCGATATAAATTACTTTAAATTTATTACGAATCATTTCCTTGTTTGGGTAATTCGATTGAAAGTTTCGAACCAAACTCTTCTTGTGGTTCAGCTAATGAAAATTTCAGTTCTTGTTTAGTATTAGCATCAAGGATTTTAGATATTTTTATATCTTTTGCATCTAAAATCTGAACACAAAAATTTTACTAAAGACAAGGAACATTTCTGATGACATACCAGTTCAGTTGCGTTTTTCTTAATTTTAGTAACGTCTAGGTCCACATTGCCATGAAGAATTTTTTTTTCAAAATCAACGGTTAAATTAAGAAAAATATTTGTCACAGCAACATCCTCTGAAATGTAATAAATAATATTTGTTCCTCAAACTTCATTGGTTCATTACCTGGTCTAGAGTATGAACTGGGATCTCTTGGACTTAGGCCTTCTGCACCCATTTCCACTCCTGGCCTAAAAACGCAAACAGAAACAAATACAAAATAAATTGAATCGCATCAGTGTTTTATAATTAATTTTTCTCTTGTAAAACACAAAAAACTAAATGTCTTTTTGAAGGAATTATACCCTAGGGCAATATGTCTTTTCACAATTTAATTTGCCAGGAAACTTTACTTGTTTCCCAGTATACTGATGTGTATTCATAAGCTACTTCACTTGATATTTTCTCATATGATATTTAAAGGAGTGTTTATTTTTTGACATTGTCAAATTATTTGATTTATTTCAGGTGAAACATAAAACGTTTTATGAACCATGGCATTGATGTCTATGGCCACAAAGCCACGAAAACACTATTAACCCAGTAGCATATTTTATTTACCTTTAATAAATTTTCAATTCAACTTTGTTAACACAGTACTTTTTAAGAGCACGTTTGCAGGTCTACTATAAAACGACTAAACACTCCAAATTAGAAAGAATCATAGATTAGATTGTTGTTGAGTGGTTGGTGTTTTAATATAAGTATTTTTTAAACATTTTTATCTTACATGATAAACCTAACATCAGAGTCAATTAAACTTTGGTCGTGTTTTAATTGCTCTCAAAGACAGGTAAACAACTCGTTACAGAGAAAGTAATTACATAGATATAGGTATTGATTAACGAAATTGTTTGTTACCTTTTCTTATTTGTTACGAAAAAAAAAACACCTTGTAATCTTTAATTCTTCAACCTAACCTACATTTATAAAGGCCAATATTAAAGTGTAAATTCATTTAATCTTTCTTTGTAAAGAATCATGGAAAAATTACTCGAGTGGCAACTTTCAATAAAAGATTAGTTAAGTAGGTACTTAGTTATATAAAAAGGCCAATATGCATTACCGGAATTCTGTACCAGAAAAATGTGTCAAAAAATGAGAATGAGAACTCTGACTTACGTTATATTATTCTGATGTTATACCCTGTGGTTATTCGCCTCTCTAAACACTTTTGTAATCAGTGTTTTTGTGTTCGAATTTGCCACATACTCAGGTTATGTATGTATGGTCCAAGATTTATAGAATAAAAAGGTTGCCTCGGAACTTAGAGTGAGAGACTCTAAAGAGTTATATGGTGACGTCAGTGGAATGATACCAAAGAATTGATAGATAGAAGGAGAATTGGTGCCGCCATATTGGCAAGCTATGGGCAGTTGCAACTTGCAACTCGTAGTAAATTGCAGTCAACAATACACCTGTGCACCACAATAGAACTAAAAAAGGGGCGTTTTGGCACTAAATTTGTCACTGGAATCCAGTGTAACACAGAATTCTTTTTCTTTATATAGAAAGTTTAAATTTGTGACATATTTGACTCTAAAAAAATGCAAATGTAACATAGTTTTTTTTTTAAATAAAGATTTGAAATTAAATTTAGAACTAAGCTTTCAAAAAAAACGTCATTAAACAAATAAAACAATCACATTAAAACACAAAACTCTGTAAAATAGTGCTTCCTACAAATAAGCAATCAAGAGTTCATAAAAAAAGATATTTTGTCACACGATGTGCAATGTTATCACTAAATCATTTAATTCTGTTAAAAAGAAAATATTTAGAAAAAAAAATACTGTTACGTGTATCACAATTGTAATTATTAATAAAAAACAAAAAAATTATGTGTATAATGGGTAGGCAACTTTTAATTCAACAGAGAAAACATTGCCCACTTTTACTACCAGTTAAAATCTGCGCAGGTTGCAGACTGTCAGATTAAGGGGACCAACGTCCTGATTAAGCCAGGACATGTTTAGGTTTTTATTATCTTGTCCTGTTTTACATTTATGTCCTGATTTGTCTCGATTTAAGGACCAACACACCTAAGTGTGCAATTTTTTGAGATTTTCATTTGCAGCGAAAACAAAGTATCTTTCAAGTTAAATTCTTTTTTTTTATCGTCAATTTTGATTTTGAATTGTATGAAGTTGATCATCTTATGTCAGATTTCAGATTTGTTATTATTATTGTGTTGCATCTTGCATTATTTACCACATCTTCCTTTATAAATCTTGTGTGCTTCTAGCCTTATTATTAACTTTAGTACTCTATATCGCAAAAACTATACATCGCAGAGTATTTTAACCTGTTGCATTGTGTTCAGCGGGTAATTTTACGTCTAAAAAACTATATTTCAAGCGTTTTTCAACTCAAAAAATACGTAACTTGACCCAATAACGTTTTGTGTACTTTTTTGAGCCTTAAAGATCACTAAAAATGTAAAAAAAACATTACATGGATTAATTTTAAAGTTAAAATCTTTTTGGTCGATTTTTGGCACCCAGTCTATTTGGACTTCTTGGTGATAACCGTTTATGTTTGGTACCGTTGAAAAGAAAATTTAATTTTCTATTATATACAAAAAAGATCAATGTTCTACGATAAATAGTTATCGAGAAAATTTCTGAAAACAAATCAAAGAAAAAAATGAATAAAACTATAAATTAAAATATTGTATTATATAGTAGTATAGTATAAAGTATTAACAAAATAAATTTATATTTTTTTATCTATGTATACAGGGTGCGGTAATGGTAAACTAAGTTAATTTTAAACTAAACATCTGATTGTACTGATTACCCCCCTCTCAAAGTTTTCTAGTTGTTTATCGACTGCCATTATACTTATCCGTTTTTATAGTTCGCCTCAGTAATAGATATTAAAAAGGAGTATATTTTAGAATGGAAAGTCGAGTAATTGTGGGCCAAATTATCCACTGCATAAATCTTAACACCTTAGCAGTGATCGATAACGGTTTTGTTATCGTAGGACGTGACGGAAAGGTAATTTCTCGTACATTTTCAACCATTAACAGTTAACAAATCCTCTCCAAAATATTTTATTTTTATTTAGTTAAAAAACACATCTTTAGGTTAGGTACTATTTTCGTTTGTTATGCAACCAATAATACATTGCATCAATTTATTCTTATCCTCAGATTAAAGCAATTGGAAATGTCTCCGATTTGGAGTTAGTCAAAAAACAACTCAATCTTACTGGATATGAAACAACTACATTGAAAAAAACCCAATTACTTCTTCCCGGTTTCATAGACACTCATATTCACGCACCACAGTATCCTAATGCAGGATTAGGGTACGATAAGCCTCTACTTGAATGGCTAGACACCTACACTTACAAGTTAGAAAAACAGTACAAAGATTTGGAACTTAGCAAAAAAGTTTATGATGCTGTTGTGGTAAGATGATTTTTTTTCTCTTTTCTATGATAGGTATAAAAATGTAATGATTTGTGCAGAGAAAAACTTTAGACTACGGTACCACTACTGCATGTTATTTTGCTTCATTATATGATGATAGCTCTTTGATTTTGGCTAATTCTGTGACCAAGTATGGACAAAGAGCTTTTGTTGGAAAAGTGAATATGACTAAACTTGCACCTTCGGATTATATTGAAACAGCACAAGAATCGATTGACAACACTTTGAAATTTATTAAAAATGTTAGGGCTATTGGTAACCCTTTAGTTCAACCGATTATTACTCCAAGATTTGCATTAAGTGTCGATATGGACCTCATGAAAAAATTAAGTGACATTGCAAAGGAATACAATCTTAACATTCAAGTAAGTTAAAACTACTGCATAGTTGGAAAGCTATAAAAATAATTTTTAGTCACATATTTCTGAAAATAAAGACGAGGTAAAAATGGTACACGAATCGTATAAGGATTCATACGCCAGTGTTTATCATACTGCTAAGCTTTTAACAACAAAGGTAATTACAATAAATACGAGAAAACGCATTAAAATTGGAAAATCAGACAGTTTTAGCTCACGGTATTTATTTGAGTGAAGATGAAATGAAACTACTTAATAAAACCGGGACTTCAATTTCCCATTGTCCTGAATCAAATGTTTACTTAGGATCGGGAATTTGCAATGTTAGAAAATTATGGGAGCTTGGGATTAACGTTGCTTTGGGAACTGGTAATTATTTCAACCCGAATATTAATCTACATATTAAAGAGAAACATGTTATTTAAGACGTATCTGGAGGAGCATCACCTTCAATTATAAATGCCATGAGATCTGCTATTAGTGCGTCTACAAATCTTTCATTTATGAAATCGGAATACAATAAAAAACTCACTTATGTTGATGCTTTTTATATGGCAACATTAGGTGGAGCTAAAGGTGAGTAGACTTCTATTACAATAACGCAATTAATATGTTTATTACAGCTTTGGCTTTAGATAGCGAAATCGGTAATTTTGAAGTTACGAAAAGTTTTGATGCGATTATCGTTGATTTAAACGTCGAACATGCTTCAGCGGATTTATTATCTAAATGTACTCCACAAGAATTATTACAAAAGTTGGTGTTTTTGGGCGACGACAGAAATGTCATAAAAGTCTTTGTTAATGGAAAAATTGTTAAAGAAACTAAAGATAGTGCTCAATGAACCCTGTATTATAAGATGCTTTGTACATATGATTTGTTGAACCTAACATTTATAACACAATATAGAATTCTGCACAGTTGCTGCATGTTTGAAAGTATGACAAAAGGTGGCACCACCACTATTAAATTTCATGGCCTACTTCATCTGTCTTCCGCTGCGCTCCATACGGCCGTAACATAACGAGCCAAAAGTCAATTCTCTTAACCTCAAAAATATCGTCGAAATCGTCCGGTAAGTAGTGCCATCTACTTGGTTAACTGAAAACTTTTTAATTCATATTTTGACAGTTCTAAATTAGAAATTACCTGCACCTCATTCAAAATTCCTTCTTTTTAAATTAATTTGTTACTGAAACGTTTGTCGAAGACTGAAACGACAAATTTGGTCGGCCAAATGCGTG